CCCCCCCCCCCCCGCCCCAGGCTGTCCACACCCCGGTCCACCAACCTGAGCAGGGTTATGTAGTGGAGGGGGGCAAAGGAACAGCCACCCCACCCTCTGCCCTAGCTCTCCCGCGAGCTGGGAGACCCCCATCCTTTGGAGAACCAAGGGTACTTTGAAAACTCAAAGCCAGATCCGTATGGTCCTTGAGCAGAGCCCTCTTGAGATTGGTCTTGGGCCCCAAGCAACCTCCTCCTCCCCTCCCTGCAGGGGCTGGGGATATCCTTGGAGCGGCCTGGACCTGGACCGGCGCTTGAATCTTCCCCAACCCCAGCCCATGAGGGAATTTTTGAGATGTGACACCTGCTTCTACACCCAGCTTTCACCTCCCAGTCTTCAGCCCCCAGGATGGTTCTGTGCAGGACATTTTCAACTAGATAGCGTGCGGTGGGGTGGAGTGGGGGCCCTCCAGGCCTGGTGTGCCTCCCGAGATCATCCCGAGTCTACGGCTGTCTGAGCACAGTTCGCACTGGGGCTGCTGCTGGCCCAAGCACCTGCATTCCAAGACGCTGGTTCTCTTGGGGTCAAAGCTCGCTTAGCCTTGCGTCTGTTTGTTCGAGCTTAATTGGCTTAATCACTTCGGCTGTGTCTGGCTAGCACCGGGCCTCCGCTGCTGCTCCCTCTGCCCCGGGCCTGTCCCAAGCGGAGTCGCTCACCCACCCCCTTGGCAGGGGGGGTTCTGGATGCTCTGGAAGCCCGGCGGGCGGGGGGGGGGGGGGGGGGGGCACTCTGATGGTCACCAGCTTCCCAGATCCTGGGCCTTCCTGGACCCCAGTGGCTGTCCCCAAAAGGATGGAGCCCGGCTTCCGAAGGCCCTGCAGTAGAGTCATCCTCTGTTCGCTCTCCTCTCGCCTGGGGGAACTCGCGTGACAACGCAGCCTAGTGGCCTGCCCGCGCCCAGCCACGGCCTCCCTGGGAAGGAGGCTCCCTTACACCGGCCTCTGTTTCTGTCGCGGGAGACCCCAGGACTCTGCTCAAGCGCACGCAGTCTGAGCAGGCGGCCTGCTTGGACCCTCTGGAGTCCCGGGGTTTCCTGGAAGGCCCCGGCAGTCGGGGCCTCTTTCCCCCTAAGCTCCGCCGCGCTGGGGCCCTCGGGTAGCGGGGCTCCAGGGGTCTAGGGGGGGAGCTGCGGTCTGGGGTGTACGGGAGCGGCCCCGGGGGGGGAAGGGAGGAGGCATCCATCTTCATTTTGGGCCCTTATGGTGTAAACAGGAGAAATATGATCTTAGTAACCAAACATGAATGCAAATCACACCGTCAGAGTAATAAAGCACCTAAACCCCGACACACAAAAGCAACACCATATGTATGAAGACAGCCTGCATAAATTATAAATTACATCATAAAAATTGATTGCCTATTTGAATAGTTCAGAAGTGAGAGACCTAAGCTGACTTCCGCCCTCCGTGGCTTTGGGGGAAAGGTCAGGGAGCGCGTGCTCCCGACTGGCCGAGGACTGGGATGACTGGGCCTAGAGTGTCCTGCCGGCGCTGCGGCCCAGCCTGGTGGCACGGGGGGAGGGGGGAGCGCGGGGTGGGCGG